AGTGTTTGGTGCTTGGCGTGTAAAATCACTACAGCCTTTCATGGTCAAATACTTCTGTTCAAATCCATCTGGACGTATGTAAAAATTTAATAATAATAGAAACTAATTATACTTATAGTAAAATATTTAAATATGATAATATTTACAGGAGCAAAATGCCTTCCAATGGTTCTTTCCACATTTAGTCATTACTCTGCACTTCACTTAGCTGCAAATATGTATGTACTTTACAGCTTTATGCCAGGTACTTACTTTTTCTTATTATAATAAGATTGTTTATTACTGTATACTGTGATTTATTATATTACTAAAGTTATGCATTTGTTTCCAATAGCGGCTGTGGCAACTCTTGGCAAGGAGCAATTTGTAGCAATGTATCTGAGTGCTGGTGTAATTAGTAGCTTTGCCAGTTTTCTTTATAAAGTGGTACTCAGTCAACCTGGCTTGAGTCTTGGAGCAGTAAGAATACAATTTTTTTATTAAAATATATACACATATTATGTTATGGTAACCTCTAAATATTATAACAAAAAGTAATATAAAAATGTTTAACATATCAAATTTTCTGTTCTTAACATATAAGTATATCTATGAAACAATATCTCTAAGGTTAGTTAACCGCTTTTTAATTTATTTATTAGGAAACTCAAGCATGTTTCCAATAACAATACCTTTACTTAATCTAAATTCAAGTTCAGTGCAGTTTTCTTGCTGAGCACTCATAACTTTCATTCAAAAAAAGGATAATATTAATATACATATAGATACATTGTACAATTATTATATTTTGCTCATTTTTATTGGTATAGTCAATCTAATAACAACAACCAAAGACAGTTTATATTCGATAATACTTTTATGATTCTACTAATTTGAGGTTATATTTCACATTATGGATAAATGCAATAACTTGTTTTATGTTTACAGTCTGGAGCAATCATGTCAGTTTTGTCATTTGTATGTATGCAGTATCCTGACACAAGATTAAGTATAATCTTTTTACCTATGTATACATTTGCTGCAGGTACGGTAAGTATTCAAAACAATGATGTATTCATTCCTTTAACAAGAATTATCATCAACTCTTTAAACATAACTAGCAATAACTTTTTAAATAAAATTATTCTTTAACTAATATATTAATAAGCCAGTGCCCAACTGCTATCCCATCTGATGGTAAGTGATGAATTATGATGCAGCCAAAGATAGTAAAGCACGGACTTAGCTTGACTAAAGCCTATTCACTATATCTATATATTTATATGTAGTCAGCAGCTGTCCCAGCATATATTACAAAAAGTTGTGAAGGAGACTGGCCGGGCATCTGGTTGTCTGATGGGTGAAGTGACAAAGAATTATGTTTAGCAATGCCTGTACACACTCTCCAAAATGTAGGATACATTTTAGAACACCAAAAGTCTGGCTACTTTGAGTCTTTGCTCAAGACTGGTACGATTCTGGCTATCTATATGCCTCTATACACGCCTTTTCATTTAGTCCGAAGCTGCAAGGTAGCGTATTGATGCACTATCCTATATATGGCATCAATATTTCATGCACTACCGGACTTATGCTTTATACAGGGTCTCCCAGAAATCGACGTCAAGCAGGAAACGGGTGAAATAGGTCAAGTCATAATATCAGAAAAATAAAAAAGTAAGGATAGTGAGATTCCAAAGGAATTTTCTATTAATAGAGTAAAAAAAAGGTGAAAACATTCAACGTAAACATCATAATAAAAGATATTCGGAGAAAGCGATTTACTGACGATAATGAGCTCAAGTCCGATGTAGATGAGCATTTTTCAAGCAAAAACGAAGAATAATTTTTTAAGTGAATAGGAAATCTATTTTCACAAACAAGCAAATATATTTATGTAATGGAAGACTATATTAAAAAATAAAAAACATATAAATAATTTTATCTTTTTTAACATATCCATACCAAGAATACATTGAACACCCCTCATAGTTGTGCTAAAAGTGAAATTTTTTTCCAAGCTGGTACAGTTAGCTTTAAATTTTAGGCAACAACTTACAGAAGCATTATTCAGGATTACATAATTAAAATAAAATAGTTTTGTAGTAACGGGAGTTAAAAAGACTATATCAGGGTGTAGACTTACTAATTTTTTTTTAAATGCCAATTATTTTTAGAATACATAACTTTTTTTTGTGATAACTATCATGACTTTATGTATCACCCTTTTCCGGATTGAGTTAATTTTTAGGACACCTGTATAGAGTAAGTAATAATAATGTCCTCCAGTCCGAATTTCGGTCACGGCGGCCTGCCTCAACGGAGGCTAGCCATCGGCGCAGGACAGGATTATAGTGCCCAAGTGTGTGCGCAAGCACAGGTGCACTCTCTATTCCCTCACTCTCATAATCCGATGGGACGGTAAACCGACACGACCGGAGAGAGATCAGGCGCAGGACCAACAACTTTACGTGCTTTCCAAGCCACGGGGATGAGACACCGCTAACTTCCTGACTCCGGGCAACTAGTGAGAATTTCTTGACGGAAAAACTCAATAATTAATTTTTTGGCCCGACCTGGGATTCGAACCCAGGGCCTCATAATCAGCAGTCGTACTACTACAACCACTAGACCAACGAGACAGTCAAAGTGCCTGAGGCAGGCCGCCGTGGCCGAAATTCGGTCTGGAGGACATTATTATTATAGAGTAAGTAGCTGTCGCAACGTGTATTACTGCCATAATTTTGCATGAACACCTAACTTCCTTGCAGCTGGTTTGGCCTTGAAATTGATGAACCGCCTACAGTTTGAAGAAATCTCAACCCCAACGAAGGTGGTTGGTGTATTTCTGTGATACATCTTAGTAGGAATAAGCCATATTAAGCTGGCTACATTTTGCAGTGTAGAGCCAAGTGTATATATGCATAGTCTACAAATAATTGCTTAAGGATTGGGTGTTTCTTAAAAACACTTCCTGGCATGACTGGACAAGTTCCTTTAATAGGAGTAAATTTCTAAATAACCAAAAGAAAAAAATAAGCAAATATTTTGTACATTGCATTTGTACATAATAATCACATTTATTCTAATCTATTTTGTTCCAGTTAAATACTAAGATATCATAAAAGTCGACTATGAGAAATACTAAGATCTAATGGCATTTTACATAAACTCTCATGCCTGTCACCCGGAGGGTTAGGCTGATAATAAAGACTTCCATTTGGCATCCTGGCGCACAGCTCACGCTTCTTTCATATCCATATATGTTCATCGGTCAAAAGTCCTCTTAAGCATTCGACAATCTGAGTTTACACAATGTCAAAATTTGAGTTTTGGCTATAGATTACACACTAATTTTAACATTGTGAAGTTTAAGTTTAAATTAGCGATTCTCTTCTCTGATTGAATACCGACCTTAATATATACCGTCAATATGGTTGAGAAACCTATATTTTAATTAAAATATCCAGATTAGATATGGGTCGCAGGTACAATACGGTCAGGTATTGTGATCGCCAAGATTGACGACTCTAATACCCCTACCATGGACTCTTCCACATCAGCAGTGGACAATTACATTTTTTTATATTACAGCATTGTTTCAAATTTAAAACAAAAATTCTGTTCACAGGCTATTAAAGTAATAATGGGTGTAGATTTTGCTGGAGTTGTATTGGGTTGGAAATTTTTTGACCATGCTGCACATCTTGGTGGAGCTTTATTTGGAATGTAAGTCAATATTAATATATACAGGAAAATATTTTAAGTTAGGTATTTATAAATATATTCTTTTTAGAATACGAATATTTGTCAGATTTACTGAATATTAGTATTTGACCGAATATTCGGCTTAATCACCAAATGATTTCCTGCAGTAGTACTGAAGTTCTTTGTATCGAGTCATTGAGATGATTGATTATTGCAACATCTTACATAGTTGTGTAAATAATTTACTATGTATCTAATATATGTGGTAGAGCCATGCTACAGCCATATTGTGGTTTTAGCACAAATGGGTCTCTCTTTATCAGGGAAGGACCACGCTCTCACAATCATGGAACACCAGCATAAAATAGCAGCTTAACCCTTAAATTCATAGTGTTGGATGCTGTTGTGTTTCGTATGGTGAGTGGAAATGTACCAAAGACCCTTTTTATTGGAAATGAGGCATTCCATCTTAGTCCTTGGGGATGACAACACATCTCCATTTTAATTTTTAACCGATCAGAAATGTAGATGGTCATAGTATCCACTTATCATCAGATGGACTGTGTTCATTTGTCACCCTTAATACTACAAAATAAATGCTTTTGTGACAGAAATTTTTCTTTATGTATTGATCACTATTACATATTTTAATCAATATTTATTAACAGAAAATGTTACATAATTGAATTACTACATTTGAGCAGATTTTGTGCTAGTGTAAGCCTTAAGAATTAATATTTTTATTATACAGCATCGCCCTTTATGGTTTCAACAGAGCCTGGTGTTATTGGGGTGGATCACATGTTTGGGGAAACCGAGACAAATTCCTTCAATATTACCACAACTTCAGAAAGGACTCCAGATAATTAAATGTGTAGAAAATTCGTTATGTAATTAATTAAAAAAAAAAAAACAGATAATATACGGATATTAAATAAATTGTATTTAATTATTTTGTTATGCTTATATTTTAAATTTTCTTAATAAAACCCAATTCATATAAAATTATTTTATTTGAACATTTAACATATGTATAAAAATATAAATTGTTTTAAATGCACAGCTCATAACGTAAATATGAATTATTAAACATAGCACAAGTTGTGTATATTGTTTATACAGTAAGTGCTTTTGTGTCATAGGGTGGTCAGTTACATAGCAGGGGGGCTATGGCCCTGGGCGACATGTGTTGGAATTAAATAAATGAAGGGTTGGGAGGTGGTAAATTTTGCTCTAGCGACCCTAGGCGGCAGAAACTCATGCTTCGCCACTGGCCATGGCCACTATTATTTTCGTAAAATTAGAAATATCTATCAAGCCTTCAAGATTTTAGCGTGGAAATCCATGTGTTCGCCTATGTAAGTCGAAATATAGTAATAAGAGTGATCATATCCTTCACGCAGATTCAATATCACTGGTACTCCAACAGAGCGACAAGCTTCTACTAAGTTCTCAGGCAGTAATTGTTTTTCAATGTAAAATTTGTCAGCAGCACCCTGTAAATAGCATAACTTAATTTACAGTATGGTTTTCAATACCTAAATTAATATGACTTTAAGGAAACTATGTACATACTTCACATTAACTACATAACGACATTGTTTTGTATGCATTTTTTTATAAATCTCGTAACTTATAGCTCATCTTAATCTATACCAGAACTCTGTCACTCTTGCTACGTGCTGTAAATACCTACAATCGATACCTCTGGTTATATACACAGTCAGGGCAAGCGAAAGATAAACTAGTGAATTTCAAAGCTTTTTATTGTCAACCAAATCTAAAAAATACCTTTTGACGTTTCACATAAATCATTCCGCAATAACTTTGCACAAGCGTACTCACATGATTTAACCTTTTACGTAAATCCAAAGAATTATGAAGTTATCTATATTTTATTACAATGTGTAATAATCACTAATTTAAATTAGAATCTTTCAAACAAAGAAATTTAAAAAAATAAAAATCAGTACTTAAACTTTTTTACTTGATGTTGTTTCAATGATATGTAACTTATTGTAGTGTTTGGATGATTAAAATTCATTGTTATGCGAATAATCGGCAAGGTATTCAAATACTCAGTAAAAGTATTCAAATAATCGAATCATTATTAATTTTAATGTATTAATTGTTTAATAATTTTTTTATTTTTAAATTCTTTACATTAATCATGATAAAACAAGTTTATTTTTTTTATTTTGTCAACGTAAATTTGTGTAGACAAAAAACTCTGATAGAGACCGCGCTGAAAAAACCACTACGTAATTTCAATCTCCCGCCATTTCGGGAGCAGTAAGCTCAAGTGCGTAATTTTGTGATTTTGTGTTTGTCTTCTTATTTTGTTCTATATTCGTTGAAGCATGTGCTGTCACAAAGGATGATTGGGCAAAAGTGGTAGAAAAAACAAAAAAAAATGATTATGGATGATTTGAAAGAGACATTAATTTTGACCGCACTATTGAAAATCAAATAACAATTAATCTAAATAACGACACCTGAACTTGTACTGAAAGTGATTGAATAAATTTATTTTTAATTTAGTTTCAATCGTAAATTTTGATAACTGTGTTTCTAGAAATAAGCAGTAACAACGAATAAGAAGAAACTGATAAATCTTGTGTTTTAAATTATCCGTTTTTAATTTAAAGTAAAGTAAAGTTACAGCCTATATACGTCCCACTGCTGGGCTCAGGCCTCCCCCTCATTTCTGAGAGGGTTTAGGGCAAGGAAGTGTCCGCCGCGCTGCCCAAATGCGTGTTGACGAACTTCACATGTCTTCGAAATATTTTTTTTCTTATTCCTCAGACATACAGGTTTCCTCACGATGTTTTTCTTCACCGCCGAGCACGTGGTAAATCAGCATTTAAAATTGCAATTAACAATTTCATTGGTGCCGGCGGGGATCGAACCCGGGTTACTCGCGTTCTGTTATATTTACAGCGAGCGTTAATCACTGAGCTACCACGGCTCTTTTAATTTATTCTGGTATTATTCAAACCAAACTGTAAATGATTACCAACTCTAAATAATCGATATCGATTTTTTATTAAGAATCGAATATTGTACGTTCCCATTTTTTGGTTAGCATGCTTGGTTCAATAAGTCTGACAGCTGTCAAAACGTATTTCTTAAATTTGGTTGACTAAAAACCTGTACGTAAAATAGTTTTTTGTAAATATTTTTTAATGTGTAAGTAATACTTATAAGATTGCAATATAGTGGACAATTTGAATGATAAGTTTGTAGAAATTGTCCAAGTAGACCGAGCTAAGCTCTACATGGCCCTGAGTTTTGACTCATTATTTAATAATTTAAATAGATCTGTACACAAATTTATTAAAATAAAATGATCCGATTGTAATTATTGTAAAATGATTATTATGCTTTTATAAATACTATATTTTAATATGTTAATTTTCATTATTGAATAGGGCAATAGCACAATTATCTCCTGTAACTACTGTTACTATCTACTGTATATGGGTATGTACCATCCTCCTACCTATTTCTGTGAGCGCTTGCACTGCTATGTTCTGGTCTAAAGGAGAGTCAGTACAGTTACAGGATGTGAGGTATTTCTATCTGAGTCCACAGACTTGACAACACATCTAAAGCCGCCCGTGTTTGCAGTTGGCAGCCGCTGGCCATGGATAGCAAATTTTTTTGTCATTTAATTTTTTTTTAATTTGCCATAATTGACAGGTAGCATACAAGCGCAGTTTTATTATTTTGAGTTGTCATCAGGAAGTTGCTGTTGCCAATAGCCTGTTTCAGTTTCCCTCTGCCGGCTCTTACGACACCACGGGACGATATGAGCTAGTGAATATTCTTAAACCACCACTACATGGAAAGGTATAATAAATAGTCTGGGTTAACATAATGATTTCTTATATTTACTCGAACACTACATAGAATAAAACTACTTTTACGGATTTTATCGCTTTTAATTTGCTTAATTTTAATATCCGACGTTTCGGGTTCTTTCTAGCACGGTCACGGGGGACTAAGGTGATTGAAGTCAGAATACCAGAGTCAACCTCAAGTTCCTCCAACTTTTTAACTATTACATTTTTTCCAATCTTTGCAGAATGAACTTAATGTCTTGAAGTCTTGCAGTCGTATGCTTGAGTCCCAAGCAGGTGGTAGTACCCAGCCTCCTTCTCAATTGAAATTGGATTTTTATAGCCTTTTGTATCACCCTTGGCAGAAATCGATGTCCTTCGCGAGGATTTGTGGTCTATCAAATCTGATGTAATGATGGGGGCCGTTGGTTGTATCTAATGTAAAGTACAGTTGGTGTTTCACGTCAGCTATATGTACTTTTACAGTACAAAATCCGTAAAAATAGTTTTATTCTATAGTCTGGATTAAAATTTAGAATGTAAAATTGCTTAGTTCATACTTGTTATTAGGAAGATGATGCTGCTGATTAACTTGGGATAGTGGATATTCTTACACCACCCCTGCACAGTTGATAGATACAGGTACCTCAGGATCATGCTTTATGGCACGCCTTGCGGGAGGCCTATGGTCAGCAGTGAATTTTCGATGAGCAGTTATGATAATAGTCATGATAAAAATTACGGTTCTTTACCTGGTCCACAAGCAGTGTTAGTGGTGGACCATCATACTTTTTGACAAGTTCTGTTGCATCCCAATCCTGCCATTTGTTTTTATCTTCTCCAAGATAACCAGTAAAAGCCTTCACTCCCCATGGACACGCACTGGGGTTGCAGATAGGGGCAAAAGCACTAACTGATTTGTACAATCCTGGGTTTCGCAGTGTAGACACAAGAGCGCCATGACCTCCCATACTAAAAATTTAATTAGTAATAATGGTAGAGGCTTATCATTTTGTCTTAGAATAACAAATATGTATATAGCGTAATATAAATAACATTAAACACAATAAAAATAAAAATCCTTCCAACATGAAAGAAGCCTATGTATCTGGTGCAAATGAAAGTTATTAACACGTTAGCTGTCCAGTGCACCGAATACAGTACACGCCGCTTGGATTCGTCACGTCCGTGGACCGTAAACGGTACACGCACCCTTACCTTGCCCCTTTCTTTGAGCTCTAACTTCATGGACTTCTGAGTTAGTTTGCTCTATTTGCCAGGACTTTTTAACAGAGCACCAATAAATTTAAAAAAAAAAAAAACGAAAAAAATTTCTTTTTCTTTCTGTGTGGGTAATAGAAAAAAATTGAAAATGACATTATTTGTGCAATGGAATTTCAAAAAAACATTGGATAAAATAAGTTTTTGCAGTGCGTTGTCACTCTTTTGTCTTTTGTTCTTGCCATTTTTAGAAGATTTTCAATGTCAATAAGTTTTTTATAACATCCAAAGCAACATCTTCATATAGATTTTTTTTTATAGAATAGGGGTGACAAACGAGCACACAGTTCACCTGAAGGTAAGTGGATGCTGTGGTCTATAGACATCTACATTTATCCTCGATTAAGGATCAAAACGCAGATGCGTTGTCACCCCTGAAGACTAAGATTGAATGCCTCATTTCCAGTAAAAAAGGATCTCTGGATCTCTACACTCACCATATGAAACACAACAGTATTAAGCTGCTATTTTACGCTGGTATTCTATGAGAATCCGTGGTCCTTCCCCGATCGAGCCGACCCATTTGTGCTACAACCATAATATAGCTGCAGCGTGGCTCTACCACATACAAAAATACCCCTAACATTGCCAATGGGTTCTAAAAATGTGAGCTCCTATTGCATCCTAACAGTGTACTTGAGGATGATGAAGACAGGCTTTCGGATGACATTTGTCTCAATATTTCGTTTTTTTTTTCAAACTAGACATTCACAAGTCCACAGTACGCGCTAAGTTTAAACACTATTTCAACTCTATAAGTGCATGTACCAAATACGGTACACGGTCAAAAGATAAGAAAAACCAGATAATTAGTTATTTATGTGGTCTAACCATAGAATACTATAATACATACATAATAGAATGGGGGAGTGGGCGGATCCCGTGTAGCTACTAAAATGTCACTAACATGTCAATTCACACGTATAAATGTCAACACGAGATGTGTTTAGACGTTACAATCGTTTCCAAAATTCGCACGCAAATTATTTAGAAAATGCCAAATTGCACCTTATTTACAAATAAATATGTATTAAAATTTAAAATATTTTTTTAATGATGATCTTGAACATTAATCAAGTCTTAAATGTGTAAATTTACTGTCTGTCAACGCAGCATTGGCGACGCCAATCCTCGTACAAAATAAGGTTCACAGCCAGTCTATGTGTATTATAGTATTCCATAGGGGCTAACTATCCAAAATTAGTCATTGTGAATAAATTTGATTAAGAATATTATAAAAACTGATTTGGACATCTGGGGTTATCGAAAAATTCTGTATGGGGACAGTTAATTGCATAGGAGATTTATGAACACCCCAAGTGCATGTCCAAAAAGTACTTATCCTAATCTACCTGTTCCCAATGTAGGGCTTGTACGAAAATATTGGATTAAGATTATAATGCACTGCCAGCACAAGGATGATCACATCATAACCAAAAACCAACTAACAAATTTGGTTTTAGCTGAGATTCGAACCCAGGACCAGTCACCATCATGATTGTTGTCATGAAGCACAGTCATCTATGTTGCGGTACGATGATTGTTTAAATTATTTGTTACTTAATTTATAATTATGTATTAAAGTATATTATTATACTTTTTAACTTAAAAAAATATATGGGTGCAGGTTAATAAATTAAACAGATATTTCTTACAAAATAATACTCTTTTAGGGACCTGTACTTACAGAAAAATAATAAATTATATGTTATTGATTGTGTTATTGATGTGTTGCTTTAGATTGCAATAACAAGCTAGTAAATCTTCAGATTGAAGATGTTAAGAAGAAACTTGTTGTACATATAGCATAATAGCAAAAACATTTTTTTGAAAGGCAGAAATTATTACTATTAGTAGGAATACGTGAGAAAATGTATTTAATAAGTATACTATTATATTATACCTCTAATAAAAGTAATAAATGTCTTTAAATTTAGAAAACTGATTTTTGGTGAAAAATATATTTTAAAATACGTATTAGATGTACTTATTTATATGAAAATGTAAATTTTTTGTAAAAATTGTAAGTACAATAAAATATATTTTCAGTAACAGTATATTTATTATCAGTGGTTACGATGCTATCATATTTTTTATTTACGACGGATAAGAGCCTTAGTTACCATTAACTTATTATAAAAATAATATTACCTGTGACCCATGATGCCAATTCTGTTTGGATCAACTACATTACAAAATGCTTTCAGTATTAAGTCATATAACTCTTTGTTCAAGTAGCTACCCATTCTGTAATGATTTGACCAAGGAGCCTTTTCGGCATCTAAGTAAAAACCGGCGGACACTCCGAAGTCCCAGGATTCATCATCACCTGGTATTTTTACTCCTCTGGGAGAAGTATCTGGTCCAACCACAATAATGCCGTGTTCAGCTGCATATCTAAAATAGAGATAAAAGAATATTATACATTAGTATTAGTATTATACATTAGTAATTGGGAATCCTGATAACACCGATAAAAATCATATAAATATCATCAAAATACAGATAGATATTTGAACGGTGATTCTCACCACCATCCTTCACAGTTAGCTATCGTGGGTAAATCATTATTTCAGAGTGCACAAGGTATTGGTGACAGTAAACACCCGGCTGCCGAGCTCAAACACATCAAGGTAAGGGTGATCGCTACCAAGCTATTTCCAATTTGTTTTGTGTTGTTAATTGTAACACGCATGATTGTAAGCTATTATTTGGAAAAAAAATATTGTCCCGCTGGGTTTCTTGCTGGTTCTTCCCAGGACATAAATTTTCTTTTTGCAAACCAGTGGTAAATGAAAAAAGTGACTTCCAATAAGTATTGCTTATAATCTATATTGAATAAAAAAGTTTCTGTTTCTGTTTCAAGCAAGTTTTGCATGACAACAAGCTTCGGGTCCCGCGCCTTCGTCACAGTAAAAGAGTGAGCTGGTCACAGTCGCGCGTGTACCTGCTGTACTGCCAATTGTCAGAGGAGTCACTGACAAGATTGGCTACATCTTGAAGCGCGCTTCCATTAAAACGTACTGCAAGCCGCCGAAGAAAATTGGTCAGTTTTTACCATCAGACAAGTGTAATGTCCCTCTGCAAGATGCAGGAGTGTACAAGCTTGATTGTGAATGTGGTCTCTCTTTCATAGGACAAACTAAAAGATTAATTAAAACCCGCGTTAAAAAAACATATAGCTGATGTGAAGATTCGATGCTCCGGGAAGTCTGCAGTCTGTGAACACGTACAGGATCGCCCCTGTCACTACATCAGATTTGATAGACCACAAATACTCGCTAAAAACACCGATTCCTTCCAAGGATGATTGCGAGGCTATTGAAATCAAAAAACAGCCTAATTTCAATAAAGAAGATGGCTGGGTGCTACCATCTGCTTGGGATCCTATAATTAATAAAATTAAATCCCAATCCAAGCATACAACTGCAAGACTTCAAGATACTATAAGTTCATACTGCGTAGATCGGAACAAAAATTAATAATTTTAATCTGTGGTAACCACGGTTGACTATGAAATCTGGACGTTGAACATCTCAGCCCCAGTATATAAAGTCACAGTATATATAAAAAAAGTTAATATACGCGATAAAATCCGTAAAAACTTGTATTATTTAAATGTGCAGTTTTTGCGTAAATATAAGAAATAATTATTATACATTGTGTTGATAAGTTTTTAGACAAAGTGTAACATAAATATAACCCAGCAAGTGCGGAGTTCATGGAGTTTCATGCTTGGAAGGAAGGAGGAAGAAGAAGGGAGTTCATGTCGTCGCCCGCGCCACCGCTTGCAGAAGAGTGGTTCATCTCCCCCGCTGAACTGCAGAGGACAGTAACCCGCCTGCAACCAAGGAAGGCGCCGGGGCATGACGGGATTTCAAACGCTGCACTCCGACTGCTGCACATTAGTCTTTGTAGAGCTTGGTCGACTCTACAATGGGACATTGCGGAAATCCCACTTCTAGGACTGGAAAAAAGGCAGTCATCGTCTTGCCTAAACCCGGGAAGGACAGGCGTAGAGCTGCCATCTACAGGCCGATTACGCTGCTACCACACATAGCTAAACTACTCGAAAGATTGATGCTAAGACACCTCTGCCCGTGCATACAAATTCGGGCGGAGCAGCAAGGATTCAGGAGGGATCATTCTACAGCTACACAGCTGACCAGATTACTGCACCTCTTTGCGGTTGTGCTCGACGCATCGATCGCATCCGCATATCGTTGGTCGTCTTTCTCGACATAGAGAAGGCGTTCGAAAGGGTGTGGCATTCTGGATTGCTCTATAAATTGGAAGAACAGACCAGTATCCCTCCTGCTATGTTGCGGATAATGGCGTCATTCCTCGCAGACAGGAAGTTCTACGTCTGTCTAGAGGACGGCGTGTCCGCGACAAGACCTATTAGAGCGGGGGTACCACAGGGCAGCTGTCTGTCTCCAATCCTGTACGCGGCTTATACCAACGACATCCCTACAACTGGCCGGACAGCCGCATTAGTGGGAGGGTGACGTAGAGCTGGCGCTATTTCACCAGATTTATGGCGCTATTAAACCTAAAGCTATTAAGATGTGCGTGGGCGATGCTCCGTCCAGTCCTGGCATCCAAGTTACCAATCAAAACTAAGATAAAAATTTATAAACTACATCAGACCATTATTAACATATGCTGCTCCGGCCTTGTAATCACTTCTGAGCGTACAACAAAGGCGGCTACTGCAGGCCCAGCAGAACTTATTACGAACCATTGTCGGAGCAGGTCGCTACGTTCGGAAAGACGATATAGCAGCCAATCTAATCATCCAAACCAGAGGAATTTGTGATCCAGCTGGCGCGCGGCTTGTTCAACCGCGAGCGAAAGATCATTCTAGCCAGCCGTAAAACCTACAATGCCGTAACGGCTCCCTGGACCAGCCCATAGTAGTGGGCCGTGAGGAGAATCCGGGCAATGGGGTATACCCCGAGGCGCGAGATCAGCAGTGCAAGGCACTCGAAGGTGACACCTATTGGTTCCAGCTATAAATCAAGAAAGAAAACAAAATTAGGAAAAGTAGTTTTGGAAAGCCACTAATAAAATGAAACATAAGTCGAGCCTTTCCGTAAGTGTTTCAGGAGCTTGTGGTTCTAGTGATACTGAATATATTATTCAGAGAATAGAGTGGAATCATCACTGGGACCGGCAGAGCCGTCGGTGTCTGATGCTGAGGCAGATAGTCCGAAGCGTAATGTATTTTTTACCGCCAAAGATGTAGCTAAAGTCAGTAAGTGCATGGTGAGTCAAGTAGCCTAGGCATGATCACCTCAGCATCGAACAACTGCAGCATGCTGGAGCTCATTTGCCAAAGGTTTTGTCTTTGTTGTTTAATTTGTGTATTTGGCATTCATATCTCCCTGACAAATTGATGCAAACTATAGTGATTCCTATTCCAAAAAACAGGACTGGTGACACCTCTGACGTGTCCTACTACAGGCCCATCTCCCTTGCTTCTGTGATCGCTAAGGTACTGGATAGTCTGCTTAATGGGTAAGCATCTCGCTTAATGATGCTCAATTCGGTTTTAGACCAGATCTTTCCACCGAGAGTGCTATCCTGTGTTTCAAGCAGACTGTCCAGTATTACACAGCAAGGAAGACACCTGTGTTTGTTTGTTACCTGGACCTATCAAAGGCGTTTGACCTAGTCGCTTACCAACACCTGTGGGATAAGATGAGATCTGAGACTAGCCTGCCCGAAGAAGTTATATTGATCTTTCAGCACTTGTATAGCAACCAAAAGAACAATGTCAGATGGGCAGGCTCGCTCTCAGAAGAATACAGATTGAAATGCGGCGTGAGGCAAGACGGTCTAAGCTCTTCTATGCTTATTAACTTATATATGAATAGGCTCCTTGATGAGCTCAGCAGTATCAGTATTGGTTGCAACATAGACAGAGTTTGTGTTAATAACATAAGTTATGCATATGATATGGTACTGCTGAGTCCATCAAGTGCAGCCTTAAAGAAAATGTTAACCATATGCGAGTCTTATGCTTTGGCCCAGGGGCTCAAAATGCTGTCAAGAGCGAATTCATGATGTTCAATCACTTTTTAAGCTCTGTAGGATCCCCTTGAAAAAAGTTGAGACCTGGGCAACTGGATCACAGAAGATCTGAAAGACAACCAGGATATTGAGAGGGAGACTGCGATGATAGAGGCTGTCTGTCCACTATAATATGTTGGCCCACAGATTTGCTAAATGTACTGACAAAGCAAAGATTACTTGCTTTTCAAGGCGTACAGTCAGTGATTTTATATGTGCATTTTATATCTGTGGGTTAACTTTACGCAGAGGACAAACAGTAATCTTCGCGTACAATACAACAACGCGTTCCGGGTATTGATTGAGTTGCCGCATTTCTGTAGTGCTTCTGCTATATTTGCAGAGGCTCACGTAGACGGTTTCGCCACTATAATGCGTAAACGTTGCACTTAACACCTCAGGTGTTTGTGTGCTTTGGCTGTTTGTCTGTGTTTTATGTTGAATTGTTAATTACCAACTTTAGTTATAAGTTAAAAAAATTGTTACTAACCTATATGGATCATGATGTCCGAAATAAATGTTTATTATTATTATTATTAAGGTGAAAGTTCGGCATCACATTTCCAAGGGGCATTTACGAACAATTAATGTTTTATTTGAAGACCTCTTCAGTGTCCAACCTTAAATTAGGAAAGTAAAAGGATATACATTCCACAAAGTACATGAATAACGTCTGTACCGGTACAATTCCTTGGGGCCCGTAATATTAGTCTCAGACACTTTTTTTTTAAAGAGCGGTAAAGTTTTTAATTCGACCGTCCTATCAGTGGGACACGCCTACCGCGTTGCTTCCCGAACCCAACGAAGTGTGGTATAGGAAAAGGCCAGTAATTTGGTTGAACACTGTTGCGAGCGTGAGATGAAGAATAAGACCATCCGTTTCAATTGGTCCTTCGTAGCCGGATTAGGACCCCATGGACATAGACATCCGTTTCAAGTAGGGTGCATATGATTTGAAGTTCGATAGTTTTTAATTGATTTATTTATTTAGTTAAAATTTTTGTTTTTATCTCTTTATTATATAGAAAGTTTACTGCAAATTAGTAGTATTTCTTGTGATATATCAATTTCATATGTTAATCAATTAGTAAAAAATGTTAACTATATTTAGTTAAAATTTTTGTTTTTATCTCTTTATTATATAGAAAGTTTACTGCAAATTAGTAGTATTTCTTGTGATATATCAATTTCATATGTTAATCAATTAGTAAAAAATGTTAACTATCAGTGTCATAGGCCTCTACTCCGTTCACCTGTTAGTCTATTTTTTCCAGACAGTAAAAAAAATCATACTGTAGAAATATCCATTATTATTGTATATA